GCTCTGCTCCTGCCATCGCTCATGCTATGTATCAGGGCCTCTCTGCCAGGGTCTCAGGTCAAGGACACACTCCACTCCTCTTTCCACATTTAGGTATCTGTCAGAGCAGCATCCCACTCTTGGTACCATATTCTGTTCTGGGTACCTAGTGCCACTCTGACAAATGGGATGTCTTGAAGAAACAAGGGTTTATTCTCTTACAGTTTGGAGGCTTTAAGTCTGAGTTCAAAGTGCCAGGTTCTAGGGGCTGCATGAAAGCCCCTCAACCTTGAGCTTTGGCTCTGCCTCCTGCTCCTGGCCCACTGAAGCTGGAGGCTTTTCTTCACTCAGCTGCTGGATGCTGAGGCTGACAAACCTGAGGTTAACAAGTAATAAGGTACAGTCCCAATGTTATCAAATCACACAGCAGGCCATTAATTCAAGTCCATTGAAAGTCCCAAGGTTGGCAGAGCATGGCAGCCTGCCGAATAACAACATGACTACATGCAGGGTTCAAGTGTGACACAAGCTAGAGACCATTCCCCTGGGCTTCTCCTTATATACAGGAAGCAGACCATATCCCTAAGGCAGCTACTCAGCTGCTCACAGTAGATTCCATTATGTAGTTGATTACCAGTTTCATCATGGGGAATACTACATCCAGCTGCCCAGCCCCTCAACCAGGCCCAGCCAAGTTGACACACAAACTGAACTATCACAATGAGTTTTGACTAATGTACATGGCTGGGTAACCATTACCACAGTCAAGATATAGGACTTTTCCATTACCCCCTAAAATTTTCTTGTGACTTTTTAGGAGTCACTTCCCACTGCTACCACTCTAGGCAACTATTGACCTAATTTTTATCCCTACAGCTTAGTGATAGTGCTGGTCCCAGAACTTCATATAAGTGGATCATTCATTTTAAACTTTTTCATATGAGGCTCCTTTCACTCAGCATCATGTTTTTGAGATTCCATATTGTCATGTGTGCTAGTAGTTTGTTTGCTTTTTTATTGCTGGGTAGTATCCTGTTGCATGCAAATAAAAGTTTGTTAATGTATTCACCTACTGATGGGCATCTGACTTGTTTCTAAATTTTTATATTTATGAATAAAGCTGCTAAGAACATTTATGTACAGATCTTGTTGTTGTCATTACTTCCCACTGAGTGAGCTCCGGCTCACGGTGACCTTATGTACAACAGAACAAAATGTTGCTGGGCCCTGTCCCATCTTCATGATTGTTGGTATGTTTGAGTCTACTGTTACAGCTATTTTGTCAAACCATTTCAGAAACACAGTTCATGTTTTTTGGGTAATTATGTACCAGTGGAACTGCTTAGTTAATAGAGATTATTTTATTTTTAAATTAAAACAATATTTTATATCACTACTTAACAGAGTACAAATCACTTTGCTTCCACTTGGACATTTAACAGGAAGAGATGTCAAGATGTGTGTCATAAGTCATGAATTAGCCCACTACTAAAAAGTGCATGTGGATTTCTTATGGGCAAGCACAGTACAATCCACTTGTGGTCAGGGCTTTCTCTAATACAGACAGGGAAGGGGCTCAGGATTTGCTCCAGGAGTGGCTGAAAGGGAAAGTAAGAGGTGACAGCTGGTCAAGCTGTGGGTGGGCAGCTAAGGCCTATTCCTGGGAAGCCTCCACATCTGAAAGGTGAGTGCAGGAGCCATGCTCTGGGTCAGTTTAGGCCCATTAGTCTCAGGCTGTGCCACAGCTTTGCAGGAAACTCTTCTCTGCAACTTAGCTATGAGTTGCTGAAAATAAGGCTAGAGTGCAGTGAAGTGTCTGGCAAAAAATAATGTGTAAAAAATCTTCAGCATTACATATAAAGAGTTAAATATGGAAAATTCCTTTAAAGCTTCAATTGTGCTTTCTCATTTGATTATGATGTTTATTCATGACTTTGTCTAGATTAAATCAGCTGTAGTGAACTAAAAGCATATCAAATGTACATTAGTCGTATCCTGTCTTCTTACCCTGCAACTAACCCTTCACATCCCAGAGGGAATTTTCTAATTCAACATCAAAGACTGATTAAATATTGATGTGGGAGTTTAAAATATGACTGTGTAATTTTATTTTATATATATGTGCTACATAAAAAGTAAACAAATAAAAACTTCCTCTGGGCACTAAAAGTTTGGAGTTGAAAGGCAAAGAGCATCGGGAGAATAATTAACCACTTCAGAGTTCAACAATAAATTGAAGCCTCATTTCATGATCAAACTATGTGATCACCAGTCATCTGGTGGCTGTCCATTATTCTAACGATTTATAAAACCCATAAATTGCATTTTTGTTGTTCCAATTCTTTTTTTAATATTTTAAAAAGAATAACATTTAGAAAAAATTTTACAGAGAGGAAAAATAAGGAATATGTTTAAAGTATTTTACAAGGCATTTGGCCCAGATTCTTTGAAACTTCTAGCTTATTATAGAGACCTAAGCAGTGTTTCCTTATACCATGGGACAAGGTGGTCAGAGGAATAGATTTGACCTTTCCAAATATGACTAGTAATTCAATGCACTATCCACCATATTGAAACTTCCATGACAAAAGGCAAAGTGAGAGATAGGACACCAGCTTGAGTCTCCAGGTTGCAGCTGGAGTCTGTGGGGCAGGACTGACTTAGAGGTAATCCAGCTGCTACAATTCACAAAAAAATAGCATAGAGACACACAAAGACTCTGCCTCTAAAGGCCCAATTCATTTGACATGCTTGTCTGTTCCTTACAAATCAATTGTTCTTACCTCCTCCAAATACATAGCTCCTCCAAATGTACAGACTTTGGGGAAAATATCAAAGGTGCTGAACTAGAAGGAAAGACAGAGTCCTTGAGCAAATCACTTAATGTCTTTGGCTTTTCATGTATGAAACAAAGTAATAAGTTCTTTTCCTATTTAAAGCCATGAATCTGTGCCTAGACTTCTTGATCCTAGACCACCCATTGAAAATCCTGTCCTGGGGTTTCTCCTTTATACACAGCTATGGGTCTGCCCTCCACCAGAGCACAAGCCATCTATTTCAGGTGCTACACAATGTCCTAACTTTGTTGATTTTATATTCTTGGAAAGAAAAGCTCATTGGACATTTCTATCTTCCAAATTTTACTTTGGAAAATGACTATAATATATTAGGGAAATACCTCAAAAGGGCTGGAGATACAAATTCATCTGATATACACATCTGTTTGTCCATCATGTGTATTACAAGATGGCTTCCACAGGATCACTTTAAAAGTTGGCAAATGTCAATCTAAAGAGCTCAGGTGGTAGTTTCCTTTAAGTTGATGGAGGCAGCACAAGTTCTAATTGCTGTGCCAGGAAGCCCTCAAGGGCAAATTAAGGCTGAGATGACCCATCAACCCAAGCTTCACTACCTTAACTCTCAATTTGAGAAGAAAATGAACTATTGCCAAAGAGGGTTGGTACAGCACTGTAGAGCCATGAGGATGTACCTCACAGACCTCCAACTACGGGGAGCACAAGTGACCAAGCTGGGAGCTGAAATCCATTCTGCATTTTCTTGGGAGGCTCTTATGCCTCCCTACAGGTGTCTCTTCTTCACTGCCTGAGCACAGCAGGGATACTAAGGCAGGGCGCTGATGGCAGACTCTGGCTTGAGGACTTCCTGATCCTACGCAGAATCTTCCTTTGGCTGCTTAGTAGACTAGGACACTTCCACATAACCTCTTCTCTCCTTCACTAAGAGCCAGACTTGCATCCTGGTCTGATGGTTCTTCCAGCCTTTTCCAACTCCTTTCTTATTTCCATGCAGGATTTCCCCTAGTAATATCCTTGCAATTTAATTCTGTCTTGATGCATATTTCCCAAAGATCCAGATAAACACAGTTTACCATTTGTTTATTTATCCATTCATTCATTTCTTCAAGAGATAGTTATTGAATGCCTACAATGTGTCTGACATTTTATCCTAAATACAAGGGCGAATGAATGGTGAACGAGATGGAAAAGGTCCCTGTGTGTATAATCCTCACCTTCATTGTCATAACTGCTCTCTTTCTTCAACTTTGACTGTGTGCTAGGCTCTCAGGTAAGAGCATTACACAACCCTGAAAGGAGCTATTATCATTCTTGTTTCACGGGTAAGAAACGTGAGACTTAGATTAAGTTGCCAGGGGCTTCTCAGAAAGTGCTGTGGTTATCTGTTCCAATTTATGGCAACCCTATACACAACAGAACGAAAGGCTGCTGAAATGCATCATCCCCATAACCCATTAGGAATCAGACCAACGTGATCCACAGGTTTACACTGGCTGATTTTCAGAATTGGAGCTCCAGGCCTTTCTTATTAGTCTGTTAGTCTGGAAGCTCCGCTGAAACCTGTTCAGCATCCCAACAACACACAAGCCCCCACTGACAGACGGGTGAGACACAATGGCCAGAAATCAAACCACATTTTCAAGCAAAGAAGGTGAGGACTCTACCACTGAACCACCAAATGCCAGGAAGTGACGGACCAGATTTTTTAACCACAAAACTCAAGTTTTTAAGCCTTAGGCTATCAAACATCTCCCCCATCTGGGCGGCAGCTTTGAGCACTTTCCCCCTCCGTGGCCATGATTACAAATCTGAATTGACTTTCCGAACCCTGACTTCACTTCTTCAATTTAAAATTACGAGGCCAGGGAAAGCATTTACAGAAGAGGAAACACAAGAGCATTCACAGTCCTGACACTTAGCCAAAGTCAAGTTAATTATGGCATTGTTTAACCTGGGCAGAGGAAGCGGTCCCTCATGTGGTGTGACACTATTACAAAAAAGACATGAGAGGACAGACAAACCCTTTGGTTTTTTGGCTCTTTATCCTGATCATAACCCAGCTCTAGCAAACCGATGGCACATGATCATATATATCCCTGGTTTCTCTATGAGGTCAGTCAGGACCCACACACATGGAACCCCCATGACACCAACCCATGTGTGTCAGCTGACAGCAGTCTTCTAAATACAACTGCAAACTCATACCATGCTCTCCAAGGTCAGCTGTGGTGTCCTCTGCACTTGATTCAAGTTCCATGAGGTTCAGGGAAGGAATGAGCTGAGATGCATGCAGGTTCTCTGAAGTTGCTTCATTAAATCCCTGCTGAAGGTAATTAACAATTCATGAGAAGCTGATAGAAGGAAATAGCTCTACCACAAATGAAATAATGTTCTTCTTAGAAAACTGCTTGGAAACAAAAGGCAACCTAATCCTTTCCCTTAAACATGATAACATTATTAAAGTAAGGCAGCTTGGGACCAGGACTCGGGTAAAGCAAGCAAATAAAATGCTGCAAAATTTAGGAAGGCACTCACTTGCAAACTTGAAACTGAGTGCCTTTTTAAAGCTGATGCCAAGGGTATCCTCTAACCTTAACCTTAGTGGCCCTGCTCATTTCCTTATCTCCAAATTGAAGGTGTTGACTTGGGTAACTTGTAAGTTCTCTTCTAGTTTTAAAAGGCTGTGATACTATGAATTGCAATTTCCTAAAATAAAGAGATCTAAGAGGCAACAAAATGAAAGAATTCATACTTTTAAAAAATCGTTAAACTTCTCCAAAACATCAATAGGTATTTCAATAAATTAATTCGCCTTTTTCCCAGTTTTTTTTTTTGTGTGTGTCTGTGTTTGCAATCTAGTTGTTGTTTGCAATCTAGCTGTTGTTTGCAATCTAGTTGTGTGCAGTTTAGTTGTTTTGTTAGGTGCCGTTGAGTTGGCTCTGACTTATAGTGACTGTATGTACAACAGAATGAAACACTGCCCATTTGTGCCCTATCCTCACAATACCTGCTGTACCTGAGCAATCTAGAGTTGGTGCTATATGGACTGGTTTTCCTTGGTAAGTGACTTTTATGAGGAGCTATTCCAAGAGTGTCTTCTTATTAAAAGCAGAATGGGAAGTTCAAACTAATCTTAAAAGGAGCATGGGAGAACAAAGGGCAGTGTTTGCATAGGGAGATAGCTGAGGGGTAGGGGAGTGCATGAGAGGGAAAGACACAAGGAAGAGGTAACTACAGGGAGGAAGTGGGAAGAGAGTTGTTACCTTGTGGGGAATTGCAGTTGATGTACTGAAACAAAATGTGTATGAATTGTTGTATGGAAAATGAATTTGCTCTGTAAACTTTCACCCAAATCACAATAAAAACTTAAAAAAAAAAAAGGGGGGGGGGAAGTAAAATGAAGCCATGTCACACTGTGGTGAGGAATTTGTGAGAAAAGTCATAAATTATTTTTAAGAAATCTTCTTCCTGTGCTGTATAATAATTATTTAAGTAGATGAAATTGGTTCTAAATTTTGAAGGTTCACTGATGCCACACGGAGAACTTTAAGAACAAAGAACAGAGAAAATGTGTCTATATGTATTTGAGAGATTATTTGACCGTAAGTATTTACACCCTCAACTTTTATTTGCTGTGGTTCTCTTTGAAGAGAGCAGATAGAATTATTATAATTGCTTCTCTTAGAAAAAGAAGGACATGGTTTGATCTTGGATCCTCATTATCATTTCATGTATGGAGGCCTGGTATACTATATACTTCTCACAGAACCCCAATTCTGCCACCAGCACAACTGTAAATGCCACAGGATAGAAGAGGGACTGGCTCTGCCTTGTATATTACAGAATCGAGTTGTTTTTAAGCCACCATCCTTTAAAGAAATCAAACATGATTCCAGCTCCATAGTCGACTGTCCTTCAAGATTTCTAAGCCCAAATTCAATCAAGTAGAAAATGCTTGCTGAAATAAAAGGCCCTGTTAGGGTCTGAAAAACACAGCAAGCCATCCCTTAAATATTTCAAAGAATTTTTATAACCTGTTTCAGAGGGGACACAGCTAGCCCATTCTCTTTCCCAAATCTGATTCTATCTCCTACAACTGCTTTTGAAATACAAACTTGTTTGCTTTGGCTAGGCAAGAGAAAAGGAAAAAGAGGGAAAGGAACTCGGATAAGCATAGCAAAATGAAATTATAAATTAGTGTACAGGAAATGGAGAAGAAAGCACTCAAAGGAGTGGTTTCCTGTTCCTCTTATCCTTCTTTACTATGTTGCTCTTTAACCTCTTCCATCTGATTAGTCCACTTTCTCTCTTATATTTTACTTCATATTGTTCAGTTCAATGCCTTTCCCTGAGATGTTTAAAACCCTCCAGTCCCTCTACAAAGAGTTCTGCTTCCCGTTTTCTTCCTCCTTTGTTCTCTGAATATCATTAAACCTGCCTCACTCTTGTGCCTGTGAATATGATTAAACTTGTCTCTTCCCTGCCTGGCCTCCTCTCCTCATCCTCTACCTGGGGTGAACAAGAAAGCCTTCCCTCAGGTGGCTCCTCCTTATCTTCTGTCCCTATTAAAATCTTTTTTTTTTCCTAAACAGATAAGAAAGTTTGTCACTGGAGGCTTTTCCCAGTATTCATTCATCTAGGAGGTGAGCTACTGCTGTCAGGAGAGCCAATTTCTGTCCATTATTAATCAGTGTGGTCCATGGACCTGCAGCATCACAATCACAGGGAGCTTCTTAGAACAGCAGCATTCCAGGCCCCTCCCCAGACCAACGGAATCCAGAATCTGCATTTTAACAAGATCTGCAAGTGACTCAGGGGCTACACTGAAGTTTGAGAAATACTACTATAAACCATAATAGGGTCAGTTCTGGACCTGAGAAGTCAAAAAGGGTTTTCCTGAGAAGAGGTGACATTCGAAAGAAAGCTAACAGTGGGATGCCCAGAGAGAAATGGCAGATACTACTGCACAAAAGAGGTCAAGAAATCCAGGAGTGGTGAGTCTGTGGGACTGAGCCAGTCAGGAAGAGGTCATATCTTATAGAGGATATTAAATTCCATAAAGAGGACATTACAGAGCCGAGAATCTGCCTGGAGCATTTTATGGCCCCATCAATATGCAAATTTAGGAAATAAGCTTCTGGAAAAGCCAGAGCCAAAGATGTGAGTGGTACTAAATCTTGTTGTTGTTGTTGTTATGTGCCATCGAGTCCGACCGACTCATAGCGACCCCTCCTTGGGTTTCCGAGGCAGTATCACTACGGAAGTAGATTGCCCCATCTTCCTTCCGAGGAGTGGAAGAGCAAAGAGTAAGCCAAGGCCTCTGGTCAGGACAGCATTAGATTTTTTTCCTCCTGATCCCTTCACTCCTTGTTGATGGAAAGGTGGTAGAATCAGGAAAACCTGGGAAGATCTGTGGAAATTACAAGTTGGAAATTCATAAAATTCGTAAAATCTTCATGAGCTGGGCCAAGAGCAGGACTTTTTGTCTGGCTCCCATGTTCTGTGAGATAGCATATGGCTAACAAAATCTCCTGAGGTTCTGCCTGTCTCAGTCTTAAGTTACCTCAGGCCCCCAAAGGACCTTGATACATAGGAGTGACATAACCTCCTACAGAATAGATCTAAAACTATAATAATTATACCAGATATAAAAAAGAACACAAAAATGATTATGTCAAAGGGTTAAAAAAGAAAACCAAAGAGTTAATTGTCAAATACTAATATTTCGGATCATACTTGTAACCGTATTTATATCTGCCATATGATAACTTAAAAAATAAAGCAAGTTATTTAGATTTCACAAAACAAAATAGTACCATATCCATACTTCTAAATTTCTAATCTTTAGGAGAAAATCTCTTAAAAGCAGGAGTTCCTGATTCTATTTAAAAAAAAAAAAAAAAGTCCCATTTTCCTTAGTAGATTGAACAAGTAGTTTACAAACATTGACAAACACATATTTTTTTTATTGTAAGCATACATACATAACAAAAAATTTACCATTTCAACATTTTTACTTACACAATTCAATGACACTAATTACGTTCATCATGTTGTGTGACCATCACTACTATCTGCTTCCAGATTTTTCCTCCACCCTTAATGGAAGCTCAGTGCCCTCTGAGCAGTGGCTCTCTATTTCCCCTTCTACCCCTGGTAACCACTAATAACTCATGGTCAGTGTATATTTGCCTACCCTAAATATTTTATACACATGGGATCAGACAATATTTGTCCCTCTGTGACTGACTTATTTCTTGTAATAATGCCAGTCTACTTGTCAGGATATATGAGAATCTGCAGTTTTCAGTCCTGTGGAGAAGAAAGCTGACTGACCTGGGGAAGAAGATACAATTTCACAAGTCATGATTTCAGGGTACTGAAAACTGTTGGAAAATTTAAAAAAGTACTTAGTTCTCAGAGGGCACTTGGGTTCTTCTGCACAGAGGTGGCATCAAAACCCTTCTCAGAGCAGGGATCAGATACTTCTCTGACCCCTGTTCCTTTACAGCCAGCAACTTCTCCACTCAGCAAGGTTCCATGAGTAGGAAAGACCTCAAAACTGACTTAACTTAATGAGGGTGGCAAAAAGGTAGAAAAGGGGATGATATTGAGTATGTACCACCAGCATCCCCACATAGTCTGCTAAAAGGGAAAGCAGGCACAGGGAGACTCGCATAGCCACAGGAGGCTAGGGCCTTTGTCTGGTCCCACTTTGGATTTTCACAACTCTAAAACACTTATAGTCCCTAACTAATTAAGAAAGGTAATCATTGGCAGCTTCTACCTCTCAGAGGGGGGCAGAAAACAAGTGTTCTTAGGCTCTGTCTTGTGGAGAATTAACTCTGTTAGGGGCTCCTGAACACCCCAGGGTTTCAAGCCTGAGCTACAGCAAACTTGGTATCCCTAGGGTTCTGAGGATTATGACCTCACACATACATAGTCCCAAGGGGCTTGGTTCTTCCTGCAAAAGGAAAAGGTCTCCATTGTAATGCAGGGATTTCCAATGAATGAACAATCAGGTTTAGAAACAGTGAAAGTTTTCCAAGAAAGAGAACAAATCCCAAGTTGCTTTCACCAGAAGTGCCATGAGCGTGGTGTTGATGTCTATCATTGAAAAAAAGGATCCTGAATCAAGACTAACTTAAGAATCAGAGACTAACTGACAAAAATCCTACTCAAATTATTCTATAATAAAGGATGAAATCCTCCCAAATTCATTTTATGAAGCAAGCATAACCTTGATACCAAAACCAGGCAAAGACATCACTCAAAAGGAAAACTACAGACCAATATCTCTCATGAACACACATGCAAAAATCTTCAACCAAATCCTAGCCAAGAGACTCCAACAACATATCAAAAAAATAATACATTATGACCAAGTGGGGTTCATACCAGGTATGCAAGGATGGTTCAACATTAGAAAAAAAAAAATTAATGTAATCTATCACCTAAGTAAAATAAAGAAAAAGAACCACATGATCATATCAATCGATACAGAAAAGGCATTTGATAAAATTCAACACCCACTCCTGATAAAAATTCTCAGCAAAATAGGAATAGAAGAGACATTCCTCAATATAACAAAGGGCATATATGCAAAACCAACAGCCAACATTATTCTCCATGGAGAGAGACTGAAACCATTCCCCCTTGCAAACAGGAATCAGACTAGAATGCCCTTTATCACCACTTCTGTTCAACACTGTATTGGAAGTCCTAGCCAGGGCAATAAGGCAAGAAAAGGAAATCAAAGTCATCCAAATTAGTAAGGAAGAAGTCAAACTATCCCTATTTGTAGATTATATGATCCTATACATAGAAAAACCTAAGAGACTCAGCAAGAAAACTACTGGAACTAATTGGGAGATTTAGCATAGTGACAGATACAAGATCAACATACAAAAATCGGTTGAATTCCTCTACACCTGGAAAGAGACTGTTGAAAAGGAAATCTACACCATTTACAATAGCTACCATAAAAACAAAATACTTGAGAATAAATCTCACTAGAGACACAAAAGACCTGTACAAAGAAAACTACAGATCACTACTCCAAGAAACTGTAAGAGATCTACATAAATGGAAGAACATATCATGCTCGTGGATAGGAAGACTGAACACTGTGAAAATGTCAATACTACCCAATGCAATCTATACATTCAATGCAATCTCAATCCAGATCCAGATCAGCATTCTTTAAGGATATGGACAAAACAATCACTTATTTTATATTAGAGGCAGGAAGTGGGGAAAAGAGAAGCCGGGGGACCACAGACAGAGCAGCGGCAGGGACCTCAGGTAAGGGGAGGGACACAGGCCCCACCCACAAGAGGCAGGAAGCAGGGAAAGAGAAACCAGGGGACCACAGACAGAGCAGTGGCAGGGATCCAGGTAAGAGGAGGGTACAGGGCTCACCCACAAGGCAGGAACTGGAGAGGTTTCGAACAGCTAAGGGAGACAAACTTGTCTATCAGTTTGTCATACTGTGGTGGCTTGCATGTTGCTGTGAGGCTTCAAGCTGTGCCACCAGTGTTGCAGCTTACAGCCTGAAACAGACTAGGAAAAAGGATGAGGCCATCCACTTCTCAAAGAATTAGCCAGGGAAAACCTTATGAATAGCAGAGAAACACTGTCTGATACATTACTGGGCAATTGTATGAATATCCCAGAAACACTGTCTGATACAGTGCAGGAGGATGAGTCCCGTAAGTCAGAAAGCTCTCAAAACATGACTGAGAAAGAGGTGGATCATCAGAGTAGAACCAACCTTACTGATATGGATAAAGTAAAAGCTTTCAAGACCTCCATTTGCTGACATGGCACGACTCAAATTGAAGAGAAACAGCTGCAAACATCCATAGATTATCGGAACATGGAATGTACAAAGTATGAATTTAGGATAATTGCAAGTTGTCAAAAATGAAATGGAATGCATAAAAATTGATATACTAGGCATTAGTGAGTTGAAATGGACCAGTTTTGGCCATTTTAAATTAGACAACCACGAGGCCTACTATGCTAGGAATGACAAATTAAAGAGGAATGGCATGGCATTCATCATCACAAAGGATGTTTCAAGATCTGTCCTGAAGTACAATGCTATTAGTGATAGGATAATATCCATACTCCTACAAGGAAGATCTGTTAATATGACTATTACTCAAATTTATGCACCAACCATCAAAGCCAAAGATGAGGAAATTGAAGACTTTTATCAATTTCTGAAGTCTGAAATTGACCAAATGTATAATCAAGATGTGTTGCTTATCACTGGTAACTGGAAGGCAAAAGTTGGAAACGAAGAAGAATCACTGGTAATTGGAAAATTTGGCCTTGGTGAAAGAAATAATGCTGGACATCTCATGATAGAATTTTGCAAGACCAATGACTTATTCATTGCAAATACCTTTTTCAACAACAAAAATGGTGGCTATAGATGTGGACTTTGCCAGATGGAGTACACAAGAATCAGACTGACTATTTCTGTGGCAAGAGGCAATAGAAAAGCTCAGTATCTTCAGCCAAAACAAGGCCAAGAGCCAGTTGTGGAACAGACCATTAATTGCTCATATGCAAGTTCAACTTGAAGTTGAAGACAATTAAAACAAGTCCACGAGAGCCAAAATAGGACCTTGAATATATACCTCCTGAATTTAGAAACCATCTAAAGAATAGATGTGATGCACTGAACACCAATGACCAAAAACCAGAAGAATTGTGGGATGGCATCAAGAACATCATCCATGAAGAAAGCAAGAGGTCAATAAAAGGACAACAAAAGAAGAAAAGACCAAAATGGATGTCAGAAGAGACTCTGAAACTTGCCCTTGAGTGGAGAGCAGCTAAAAGCAAATGGAAGAAACGACAGGATAAAAGAGCTGAACAGAAGATTTCAAAGAGCAGCTCGAGCAGACAAAGCCAATTACTATAATGAAATGTGCACAGACCTGGAGTTAGAAAACCAAAAGGAAAGAACACCCTTGGCATTTCTCAAGCTGAAAGAACCGAGGAAAAAATTTAAGCCTCGAGTTGCAATATTGAAAATTCTATGGGCAAAATATTGAGTGATACAGGAAGCATCAAAAGAAGATGGAAGGAGTACACAGAGTCACTGTACCAAAAAGAATTGGTCAATCTTCATCCATTTAAGGAGGTGGCATATGATCAAGAACCAATGGTATGGAAGGAAGAAGTCAAAGCTTCACTGAAGGAACTGGTGAAGAACAAGGCTCCAGGAATTGACCAAATTCCCACTGAGATGTTTCAACAAATGGATGCCAAACTGGAGGCACTCAGTCATCTATGCCAAGAGATTTGGAAGACAGTTACCTGGCTGAATGACTGAAAGAGATCCATATTTGTACCCATTCCAAAGAAAAGTGATCCCACAGAATGTGGAAATTATCAAACAATATCATTAATATTGCATGCAAGTAAAATTTTACTGAAAATAATTCAAAAACGGTTGCAGCAGTATATTGACAGAGAACTTCCAGAGGTGCAGACTGGATTCAGAACAGGACGTGGAACAAGGGATATCATTGCTGACGTCAGATGGATCTTGGCTCAAGCCAAAGAATACTAGAAAGACGTTTACTTGTGTTTTATGCAAAAGCATTTGATTGTGTGGATTATAACAAATTGTGGATAACATTGAGAAGAATGGGAATTCCAGAACACTTCATTGTACTCATGAGGAACCTGTACATAGACCAGGAGGCTGTCATTCAAACAGAATAAGGGGACACTGCATGGTTTAGAATCAAGAAGGGAGTGTGTCAGGGTTGTATCCTTTCCCCATACTTATTCAATCTGTATGCTCAGCAAATAATCCAAGAAGCTGGACTATATGAAGAAGAACGTGGTGTAAAGATTGGAGGGAGAATCATTAACCTGTGATACACTGATGCCACAACTTTGCTCACTGAAAGTGAGGATGACTTGAAGCACTTACTGATGAAGTTTGAAAAATACAGTCTGCAGTATGGATTACACCTCAATATAAAGAAAACAAAAATCCTCACAACTAGATTTATAAGCAGCATCACGATAAATGGAGAAAAGATTGAAGGTGTCAAATGCTTCACATTGCTTGGTTCTATAATTGATGCCAATGGAAGCAGCAGTCAGGACATCAGATGATGTATAGCAGTGGGCAACTCAGCTGCAAAGGACTTCTTTCAAGTGCTGAGGAGCAAAGATATCTCCCTGAGGACTAAGGTGCACCTGACACATGCCATGATATTTTCAATCACTTCATATGCATGTGAGAGCTGGACAATTAATAAGGAAAACTGAAGAAGAATTGATGCTTTTGAGTTGTGTGCTGGTGAAGAATGCTGAAAGTACCGTGGACTGCTAAAAGAACTAATAGAGCTGT